GTTTTCCCCCTTTTTTCTCATTCTTTCTCCCGTTTTCCCCCTTTTTTCTCATTTTGTGCCGTTTCTCTCCCCGCAGGGCGGCCCCAGCAGCCACAAGGCCGAGGAGCTGCTGAAGCAGCCGGACTACTCGGACAAGATCAAACACCTGCTGGGCAACCTGGGCAGCCAGCCGCCGGGGGGGCCCGGGGGAGGTGAGGGACACCTGGGGGACACCCGGGGACAGCCTGGGGACGCCCAGAGACACGTTGGGGACATCCAGAGACACCTTGGGGACACCCGGGGACACCTTGGGGACAGCTGGGGACAGCTGGGGACACCCAGAGACACCATCCTGGGGTTCTGACAGGGATAGCAGAGAGCTCTGGGCTTGGGGACACCTTGGGGACAGCTGGGGACACCTTGGGGACACCCAGAGACACGTTGGGGACATCCAGAGACACCTTGGGGACACCCAGAGACACCTTGGGGACACCCGGAGACACCCTGGGGACAGCTGGGGACATCCAGGGACAGCTTTGGGACACCTTGGGGACACCCAGAGACACCATCCTGGGGTTCTGTCAGGGATAGCAGAGAGCTCTGACCCTGGGGACACCTTGGGGACAGCTGGGGACAGCTTAGGGACACCCAGAGACACCTTGGGGACACTCAAAGACACCTTAGGGACACTCAGAGACACCTTGGGGACACTCAAAGACACCTTGGGGACACCCGGAGACACCTTAGGGACACTCAGAGACACCTTGGGGACACCCGGAGACACCTTGGGGGCAGCTGGGGACACCTTGGGGACACCCAGAGACACCTTGGGGACACCCAGAGACACCTTGGGGACACTCAGAGACACCTTGGGGACACCCGGAGACACCTTGGGGACAGCTGGGGACATCCAGGGACAGCTTGGGGACACCTTGGGGACACCCGGAGACACCATCCTGGGGTTCTGACAGGGATAGCAGAGAGCTCTGACCCTGGGGACAGCCTGGGGACACCTTGGGGAGACCCTCTGGACGCTGTCCTGGGGTCCCCACGGGGATTTTGGGGTGCTCAGGGCTTGGGGACACATCTGGGGACACCTTGGGGACACATCTGGGGACACGGTCTCCAATTCTAGGGAGATACTGGGGTTGTCCCTGTCTTGGGAACACCCTGGGGACATTCTGGAGATGCTGTCCTGGGGTCCCCACGGGGATTTTGGGGTGTTCTGGGCTTGGGGACACATTTGGGGAAAAATTTAGGGACATTGGCTCCAGTCCTAGGGAGAATATTTGGGATACTCAGGGCTTGGGGACACATCTGGGGACAATGTCCAGTGTCCCTGACAGGGATTTTGGGGTGCTCTGGGCAACTGGGGACACCCCCTAAAATTGGGGTGACCTGGGGCAGGTGTCCCTTAAATTTGGGGTCACCTGGGGATCCCTTAAAGGGGAAAGACCCCCTAAATTTGGGGGTCTCTAAATTGGGGTCACCTCCCCTTAAATTGGGGTAAATTTGGGGAGTCTCTAAATTGGGGTCATCACCTCCTTAATTTGGGGGTCTCTAAATTGGGGTCACCGCATTAATTTGGGGTGAATTTGGGGGTCTCTGAATTGAGGTGACCCAGGGTGTCCCCACCCCCCTTGGGGGGTGTTTTGGGGTCCCCCTGACCCCGTTTTTTTTGTTTTTTCCCCCATTTCTGCAGTTCCCCACGGGCTGCTGGGCCCCGGCCCCATGAACGGCTTCCCCCCCCC